TGTTACGATTATCCTTGAACCCTCGTCCGGATTTCCCAAATCCTCCGGTTCGTATCGCTGGATTGTTAAATAAATGAGATCGATGACCGAATTGTAGTACAATTAACTTTATTGTACAACAAACAATTTACAATACTTGCTAATACAGTAAAAACACTTTACAATACTNGTGGCGGCGCCCTTATATACCTGCGCTGGCACTTATGGCAACTCTAGAACATTCTGAAGTTTATCGCTCATTCTCTTTCTCTCGCTGTTCGCAGTGTTCATCCAACTTGACGTTTCTCTTTGTGGAACATTCTACGTCATTCTTCGAACATTCTGCCTATTTCTCGTTGTTCGCTTTGTGTTCCCGCAGTATTCGCCACAATACATAGATAATATACCATACAGCACAGCTGCATGTGCACAGCACATCCAAGCAGATCACAGCACAGAAAAATCACTATCACAGCACAGCAAAAGCACTATCACAGCAAATCGAAAGCAATAAATAATTTTCAATAAACTGCCAGTAACAAAAAAAAATACAGTTTTCAAAGTCCCAGAAAAATCAAAGCAGTTCGAAGGGAAATCAAAAATTTCAAAGCGAAGCTAAAGCAAAAATAGTAGTGCTGTTGCTGCTGTGCTGATAGTTTTTCAAACCCTGCCATTTTTCCTAAAAAAATTCGTGGTATAAAACTCAATAACCTTGTTGAAATAAATATCATTACACCACAATAATAATAACAAAAGATATTTATTTTCTATGGATTGTACAGCAAGTCTGCGAACAAAAACTATTTTTCCCATGTAAAATATATGGAAAACTTCAAAGCCGGGCGGCACGGTTAAATATTGACCGTGGATTTGAATGTGCATTTTTGGGCCACCCCAATGTACATATACGAACTTCGATGGACTTTAGGCTTGCCTTAACATTATCCAACTGACTTTAACTTTGTCATCCTCATCCTTTAGTGAATTTTCACTAATATTAAATTAATCTTACAATACTCTTATATATATTACATGTATATAGACTTTTAATATACCTACCTACATGTGTATGTGCATATTTTTTACATTAGGCTGCCTCACCTACAGCTAATTTTACAAAAGCAATTTAAGTGAAAAATTATTTTAATTTTTTGAATTTCATATGGAAATTGACAGCAAATAAGAAATCATTTTCCACTTAAACTACAGGTGAAACCGGGAGTTAATTTTTTAAGATAACATTTAATTTAATTTTGATATTCACAAAAAAGTAAACTAAATTTTTTGTGTTAAACCAATTTATTAAAAGCATTAAAATAAAATAAAGATTAATATATGTATTTATTCAGTTAAAATTTAAATTGGCTGTCGTAAATATTTAATAGTTCAGTGATACTTGAGTCTGGAGATACACGTTACACCCGACGAAGCTAATGGTACCCTTGTTACAGCCATACCTAAACAAAAGCGTCAGCGTTGTCTGGCTGTCAAAAAATGCTCATGCCCATACAATTTGTATGAAGTATACCGAAATAACGCGGCATCAACGCTTAGCGGTTAGAAAATCCGATTTTGACAGGGCGTTAGGAAGTGAAGTTGGCTGCAGAAAAACGGCGAAACTGTCATTTTCGGAGTTCACACAAAAAAAACTATGCTTATTGCTGGTATTATTTCTTCATTTGATGTAGCGTTCCGCTTTTGTTTAGGTATGGCACTTCGGCGTTAACGATAGGCGCCAAAAAACGCTCAGCGCACAACTTTTGTTTAGGAATGGCAGTTAGCATATTAAAATTTGTCGTCACGAGAACTCCGGGTGCATGAAATATTTGAAAATATATGGCTCATTCCACGATAATGCATTTAATGATTTATATACTTTTATTTTCGGATAAAAGCGACTATGTTGGTCATGCCCGTCACATATCACACCCGCCTCAATTCAAAGTTAGGCAAGTTTTAATAAACTCAACCAAGGACTGCTACGATTACTTATTTGCTAATCTGCGAGGTAGCATATATCTGTGTGTGAGCATCGATGGGAAAACTTAGCTATGCTGCACCAGATACAAAGAAACCGTTACTTCACTTGTCACGATAAAAACAGTATCTCATACGGTTTGACAGGTAACAGGCTTACGAAAAGTGTAGTACTATTTAAAAATAAGGTACTTTGCAAGCGAGCGAGGATTATCCCGTCTTCAGATGCCAGAATCTTTTGTGTATTTGTAAAATCCGATTATTTGAGAAATACAGTTAGTTCAATAGTCTGTTTTTATTTATTCATGCTCAACTTGTCACACTCGTCACAAAGCCACAGTTGAGCTTGGTACAGATAATCTATACTTTCAATTAGAGGTAAGCCACTTCGGCATAAATGTTAAAAATGTTTATTTAACTAAACAATGAACTATTTAAAACCATAAGCAGAAGACACTTAGCAATTTTGCTATTTTTCTTTTGTTCATTTAATGTTTATAATGTTTTTATAAAATTCTAGCACATTACATAATCAGCACCACATGAATCCACATTTCAAACTTCGTACAAAATTATAAAACTTTAACAATTACACCCAAATAACTTAGCTATGCAGTTTTATAGCCCATAATATTTTAGAAGGTTAAAGTGCAAATTTCGAGACACTAGAAAATCGTGTTGATTTTTGATAATTATTTGGCTGACGCTGTTGTGGATTCTAAGCTTAAACCTTAAAATGTAAGTTGAAATGTCATACTCGTCACCGTGGAATGAGCCATATGCACTGAAATTTCATCGACATCGGATGAGCCTTCTACGTCTGCATAAAAAAATCGCTTTTAAAAGTGTCTTAAATATTTATATTGATATGCATTTAAATAAGGGGATAAATAACTTTCACTTGATGCAACTTTTGTTACGTAAAAGAAATGTGAAGAGAATGAATTTTACAACAAAAAAATTAGTTTGAATTTTATTTTAAGTAAATAACAAATTTTAATTTTGGTTTTGTTCTCCAGTCGTCACTGTCCAATTTGTATGTAGAATCGCTCGCTGATTCCAAAAATCGAGTTAATTTTTTCCTTTATGGATACATTTTCGAGATATTTGCAATTTACTGTTATTCGGCTTTTAAAAAAGAGTTGTTCGACTTAATATCGCATATCTTACGAACCAATGGAATAACACTGGTTTACGGCAAAAATGTTTATTGGATGCCACTATCCAATTTCTATGTAGAATTGCTCGGTGATTCCAAAAATCGAGTTAATTTTTTTTCTATGGATACGTTTTCGAGATATTTGCAATTTACTGTTATTCAGTTTAAAACAAAAAGTGGTTCCCCTTAATCACGTATATCTTACGAACCAATTTAACAATCTTAAAACGAGATACGTCAAATCAAAGCTAATAAAATTCCATAAACCATATATGCATCATTGTTCGATAGGACTGATAGTTTCTGACAAATTAATTAATCATTACAGTTTTTTTTATTTATTCATGAAAAAATTAAAACAATCAAACTTTAACAGAAGAAACATTTTAAAAATTACAGGTTCTGTGTCAATTTTTTGCATTTGTGCTAAAGCCTGTTCTGTTATAAAAAAAAATCAAGTTACTAATGAAGGAAAGCGCGGGATAAATGAAGAAGTAATGAGTGGTCAAATGAAAATACGCAATTTTTTGTACGAAAAATGAGGAGGAAAGAAAGCTACTCATACGCCACGTACACCTCAGGATTTTATTAGCTTTGATTTGACGTATCTCATTTTATGATTGTTAAATTGGTTCGTAAGATATACGTGATTAAGTGGAACCACTTTTTGTTTTAAACTGAATAACGGTAAATTGCAAATATCTCGAAAACGTATCCATAAAAAAAAATTTACTCGATTTTCGGAATCACCGAGCAATTCTAGAAAGAAATTGGATAGTGGCGCCTGGAAAACAAAAACCAAACTAAAATTTGTGATCCAGTGTAATTTTAAATTTTTTCCCTGTTAAAGTTTGAATCTTTTCAATTTGTTCACCAAAAAAAACAAAAAATCTTAAATGATTAATTAATTTCTCAGAAACTATCAGGGCTATCGAAAAGTGATGTATGTATATACGGTTTATGGAGAATTTTATTTGCTTTCATTTTCTGTATCTCGTATTACGGTTATTTAATCGGTTCGTAAGATATACGTGATTAAGTGAAACCACTTTTTGTTTAAGCTGAATAGCGGTAAATTGCAAATAACTCGAAAAGTTATAAATAGAAAAAAATAATTATTTCGATTTTCGGAATCACCGAGCAATCCTACATAGGAATTGGATAGTGGCATCTATAGAAGATTTTTGCTGTAAACCAGTGTAATTAACAATGTTATAAAACCAATTGCTTTTGGTCAGGCAACCCAATGTTCATACAGAAATATCTATGCGTGTATATGAAATGTCTTATATAGAAATACTAATATGTATACATATCCACATACGAATGTATTTTTAATTTTAAAAGGTACATATGTCGTGTATTATGTACATACAAGTGCACTCACGTTAGTATATAAAGTAAAAAATTTTTAAAGATAAAGGGATAGTTTCAAAGCAATTCACTCACCATCTGGATCCAACATCCTTGGAATATCAAGATATTTCTCAGCAACATCAAAGGCAGTGTTGAGATTTTCCAATGGATTGTCTTTGGAGAGTTTGGAATAATCAATCAAGTCCGGCCTATGCCGGTGAATCAAGGCGCAGAATGCTAAACCGTCCTATAAAATAAATTGTGTGTTAATGCATGTCTAGGAATTGTAATTAATAATTTGTTAATTATTTTGGTTCTTGCCTTGAATGACAGATGGAAGTTTTGAACATTGACGTTCTTATAAGGAGCCGTTTTGCGTTGGCACCACAACAACAAGCCTTCTTTAGCGGTCATCTCTTCAACGGAAATATCCTGAATAGCAAAACGTAAAATGATTGTCCATATCATGCCCAGCGTCATCTTTAGATTTCCATCAACGATTTCCTCAGCGCCTATCGATACCAAATGCACGCCCTTCGATGCAATGAAATCCAGGGCTTTGTTTACATTAGCGATCTTATGGAAGCGCATCTTGCCACGATCAGGTTTTGGCAAGGTTTCACCCGAAATTACTTCAAGCAGCAACATAAGCTTCAGCCCATTGCGAAAGTCCTCATCAATGTTATCGATGGATGTTCCAGCTTTTCGCAGATGGCTATTACACCATGCAGTAAATGTCTATACATACAATCAAATAAAGAAATATCCATTTTAGCGCCTCTTAAATTCCAAATATTTAGTTAATTTTAACTATTTAGCAACGAAATGAAAGAAGCTGTGCCGAACTGCTACTACTATTTACTTATGAATGAACGCGATCTGGTTTTTTAAGGATGGTTTACAACAATGCCGGCCAAAACGTCCACACTGGGCCTCAACTCAACTTTGTGATGGAGTGAGCTTAAGCTCAAGAATTTGTGCTGAAAATCCCATTGTGTAGTTTTGCCTTCGTGTTTTCACATCAACGCTAACGATGTGTAAGACTCCTACCTAACTGGCCGTCTTCACCTGATTGAAAATCTATTTATTTTCTCGCAAGCGAGATAGAGTTTTGATGACTGGGCATTTGACAGCATACTTTTTCATTTGTAAAATGTCGGCAAAGAAGAAAGTTCGAACCTTGCAAGCTCTTAAAAGTTTAAAAAAATTAAAAAATCTGCATAAAGAAAATCTGCCACCAAAATAAACGATGTTGCTACTCTGAAAAATTCTGCGAAATGAGAATATAGCTGTCAAATAACAACGATGACAGTTGAAAGCAAACGAGAACTTGCAAACCGCTTTTTCAACTTTGTCGATGTCTTTACGCATTATTTTATAAAGCAGCCATACTAGTCCTGAATTGATTGAAAGACAACTTTTAATAAGTTGCCTAGTGGAGTTAATTCATTACGAGCGATGGGTTTTTTATTTTTTTTATAACTGCATTCTCGGATTACGTAAATCGTATTTTTTAACCGACTTCCAAAAAGGGAGGAGGTTATCAGTTCGTCGGAATATTTTTTTTTTGATTATGTATGTTACCGCATAACTTTGGACCACGTCAACCGATTTCGATAATTCTTTTTGCATCAGAGGTGGTCCCAAACTAATCTGGTTGAGATCCGATCAGTGGATCCTGAGATATATATATATATATTTTTTTTTATATGGGAGTTGAAGTCGGTTTTTTTTTGCTAAAAATTACTTGTTTAATCCTCTTTTTGGCTACGTCAATTAGAGATAACAAATCGTCGACTTAAGAGTATATACCTTGGCACGAACCGCGGCATTCGATATCGAAAGCAACTCGGACATAAATTTGATTTTCGGCATTCGATAGCGAGTACGCATCGTCAATTTAAATTAAATTGGGGCGAAAACAGCTATAATTTTATACGTTTCGATTCGAAACGAGTTATCATTCGGTCACGCATTCCGCGGTTCGGGCCCTGCTGACACCTTCAAAGAAATTTTACAGAGCAGACAAAAAAGTACTTAGTGGAATCGCGATAATTTGTACCCCGTTAATTCCCAAATCTAAAATTTTTTAACAATCCGTAGGTGCATTGTAAAAACCTTGTTAATTGAAAAAGCTGGGTCCCTCGTTAATTCGTATTTTTATGACAATGCTGGTTATGTTGAACCTCCTATAATACATAACTGGTTGTTGATAATCTCCTGTAACTCGGAAGGCTAAAACATACTGGAGTGGCGAGCACAGAGAACGAGCAAATGTCGATTACAAACGTACACGTTTCTATCGGATGGCGCATAGCGAAGAGCAAGGCATAGATAAGTGCGCTTCCATTGCAACATACTGCGGGTAGAGGGCAGGACGCCCGTGATTAACATGATACGCGCTATCCAATCTGCTTTTTAAGTGGACTTTTCTAGGGCCAGCCACCATACGGTGATCCCATAGAAAAGGATGGGTCGAACAACCGCCGTATACACTTAGTGTAATATGTGTGGTTTCAGACCCCATAGCTTCCCCACCGCTGCTATACACAGGCGTAGAGGACGGTTATGGCTTTCCGAAAGAAAATTGTTAAAGGCGCCCCGCTGTGTTCTGTTTTGGGAAAAAATGGACAAAATCAAATATCTCCCGATCCAAACCAGATAGAGACATAAACTAAACGGCATTATAAAGCCCAAATATTTATGAATATAGGAAAATTATTCAGATTCTTCAAAAACAGTTTCTCGACCTTGAATTTTAAGGTCAAAGTTCAACAAAAAACAAGTAAGAGCAGCGCTGTCTTCGGCTATGCCGAAGGCTTCATACCTTTCATGAACATCTGCAAATTTTAGTTTGACAGGTTACTGATTTTGAATACATCTGCATACATCGATAGAGGAGTTACATACTTATATAAAAAATCGCATCTAAACAATCAGAGGTATGGAAGATATACTTTATATGGCACCAATCTAAGTGATTTTCACTGCTATGTGATCGGTATGTAAACCGGTAACACAATTTATTGGGTTTAGTTTCCTACATAAAGGAGATATATCGCAAAAACTGGTATCTGAACAATCAGTGCTATAGGAGATAAAGCTTATACAGCATAGATTTTGACGATTTTCTCAGTAGACTTTGTATTATTATTTATAAAATATCTTACGAAATTTATCGGTTTTAGCTGTTCAAATAAAGGAGTTTTACAGTAAAATCCCATATCTGAACAATCAGATGTATGGAAGATATATGTTGTAGTCACCCGATCCTTGTTATTTTCACTGTAAGTATTCTGTTAATAATGAGTGAAAATGGTGCGAAATTTCATGTTCCTAGCTGCATAAATGGAGGAGTTATGATAAAAGACCTCATATCTGAACAATCAGTTGTATGGGGGCTGCAGGTTATAGTGACCCGATCTTTGTTATTTTCGCTGTAAGTCTTCTGTTGATAATGAGTGAAAACAGCGCGAAATTTCATGGTCCTAGCTACATAAATGGATGAATTATAACGAAAAATCTCATATCTGAACAATCAGTTGTATGGGAGCTATATGTTAAAGTGGTCCGATTCTTCCGGTTCCGACAAATGATTAATACATTATAAAAATACACCCACCTACCAAATTTGATCCGGATATCTCTAAAACTGAGAGACTAGATTGCATACAAACAGACAGACAGACGGACAGACGGACAGACGGACATGGATAAATCAACTCAGCTCGACGATCTGATCATATAAGTATACATTTTAATGGGTCTATCTCTTCTTATTCTGGTACTTACAAACATCGGACCAAAGTTATAATACCAGTTCATGCTCATGAAAGGTATAAAAATTTTATATAAAAGCAAATATCTAGCGATCGAAAATTAATAGAGACCTAAATGAAATAGTATTTTAAACTCCAAATATTGCTTAAAAGAGCTAAACTGTTTCGATTCGTCAAAAATGAATTCCCTATCGTGAATTCCGAGGTTAATAGTCAACAAAAAATAAATAAAAATTGTCTGACTTAAACATAGCTAAATGTTTTTTAAATCGTTTTATACGATATACATACACATAAATGCACATATCTGTGTTCGTATGGAAAAGTAGCTTATGTCGAAAGGCTGGCTTTAGTATAAATCGGCATTCGCAGCATACGATTGCGAATTACTCACTGGCGGCGAGCCGTTGAGAACTTATGGCAAATAAACGTGCAAGAAATAGCTCCGATACTAGCAAGTCAATATTCTTATTAAGTCTCATCAAAAAATTCTTTGTCGTTTAAAGAATAAAGGGAATGCCGCATTATACTAAAGCCGACCTTTCGACATAAGCTACTTTTCCATACGAACACAGATATTTATGTGTGGTGGGTCATATCTATATATTTTTACCCACCAAACAATTTTTGTTGCCGGAAATAAGAAAGCTTGTCGCCCTCAGCAACAAAGTTATTGCCAGCAATATCGCCATCGTATCGATTTCTTATTACCTGTCGCTCTAAAACGTCCGCCGCAGGCAGCTCGCCTGGGCGAGTCGTTTTGTTATTACCTGATTGAGTCGTTTTATTATTGCTACAGGCGATATTTGAATAATAATTTCTTGCAACAATTTTATTATTTTTTAATATTTCCTTTGCTTTTGAACACAAACTTAAAAGTTCTAAACGAAATTAACTTTTTTCGTCGCTATGTAGCTTCCTATTTTTTCAACACTGTCTTGGGCATAAATCATATGTTTTTGAAGAATCCCGTTGACCCGAAGTTCATCAGTTTGAGAATTTTTGAAAACATTTTCCTAAAATGACATAAAAGAAATAATGTTGCCGATTTCTCACTACGACAATAAATCGGCGAGTCGCTAATTTGTTGCCATTGACGATTCTTGCCTATTTCTCATGTTTTGCATGGAGGGTACATTTGTGTATGTTTGTGTGGAAGTGTGTGCGCAGTAACCCAGTAAAAATCGGTTGTATGCATTCATGAAATATGCATGCTGTATGAGTGAAATAGTGGGAACAATTCATGCGTAGTCATGAATTTCCACAAACTTTCTACATACATAACGTGAATATAGGGGATTATCTAATCAACAATATATTTCCATGCTTCCATCTTCAACACCATCAGCATCATGGTTTGTAGTAGTTCTGTATGTAGAGTCACTAAATTACTACGCACACACACATACACACTTACACACAAACATACACACGCACACAAAGAGTCAAGTTTACGCTGCCCTTAACCCTCTAAGGCTGGTTTTTAAAATAGCGAGCATAGACTTTGCAAAGTAGCGTTTTCGGCTAAATTTAGGCTTCTGATTTATAGACAAGTAATTTTTAAGAAAAAAACTAGACCGACTGGAATTCTCATATAAAAAGTTAGAAGTACCGTTATTTTTTTATGATCCAATCGGATCTAAACCAGATTAGTATGGGAGCACCTCTGAGACACTACCTTTCCGATGCAAAAAGAATTATCGAAATCGGTTGTCCAAAGTTATGCGGTAACATACATAAAAAAAAGAAAAAAATATTCCGACAAACTGATAACCTCCTTTTTTTTTGAATGTCGGTTAAAAACAGTTCTTTGAGCCAGTACAGTCATGGGTTGAGCTGTGACATGAGAAGATTTAACTGAGGCACTCATCAAGAAATCACTGCTTCAAAGCTCAACTGGCCTTTATTTATTCACACAAAACACATTTCAAAATAATGATAGATAAGCATACCTCTAAG